TGCCTGACCCAGACAGGACCCTCTGTTCCAGGCACGGTAGCTCCGCAAGACTCCCTGTTCCAGTTCTCCATTGGAAAAATCCTGGAGGATGACGGAGGTGCTGCAACAGGAGCAAACCCGGGGCCGGACTGTGAGATGGCTACATTTTACGAAGGTGTTTCGTACCCAGAGGGTGGTGAGAGTGATGTTGTGGCCGCTTCTCCACTACAGCTTCACAACCCAGACAACCCTGAAGCTGACCGGACCACAGGAGAGCAGGTGAAGAGGTCAGTCCTTCCTTAATCATTCAGTCAAATATATATCTATGCCATCTGGGCTTGAATGTCTTGCTCATTATCTTTAACGCATTCTTTCTGTCCTTCCTCACATGCAGGGTTATTATGTCTGTAAATGATAAATGGCATTACTGCCATAATTCTGACGTGCTGGTCGGATCCAGGGCAATGAGAGACCGTCACCTGCAGTTATTGGGCTACATCATACTACAGGTGAACACTGAACAAAATATTTGATTTATTCAATTTTTTATTTCTTCAGGCTTAAGATATCATATATGCTGTGTGTCTAATTTATTTTAAATAGTAGGGACCCACCAATATTTGGTATCTAACTTAATTTTAATAGCAGAATATAATGTTTTAGGTTACATTCAATAGTACATTCAAACCTAATCTGATTGCAGCTCTTTTCTTTAAAAAAATAAATAAAACACTATACTAAAATCAATAGTTTAAGTCAATGTATATGTACATATTAAAATACATATTAAAACTATAATTTTGAATTCTTAAAAATTAGCTTGCATGAGGAAAATATAGCAATAAGATTTTTTTCTGAAATTAATACTTTTATTCAGCAAGGAGACATTAAATTAACATCATGATCATGATTGTTTTTAATGATCGTGATTAATCAGATGAACTTTTTATTCATCAAAGAATGATGAAAAAAGGATCACCATTTCCAGAAAAATATTAATCAGTACAACCGTTTTAAACTGTGATGTAATAAGAAATTGAATGGTATATGAAGGAAATAATAAGTAAAGTTTCTTGAGCACCAAATCAGCATATTAGAATGATTTCTGAAGGATCATGTGACACTGAAGGCTGGAGTTATGATGCTGAAATTTCAGCTTTGTGATCACAGGAATACATTTCTGTTTAAAATGTATTTAAATAGAATGTATTTTAAATGTATTTAAATAGAACACAGCTATTTTAAATTTAAATAATATTGTACAACAGTACATTTTTACTGTATTTGTGATCAAATAAACTTACTAAATAGAGTTAAATCTTTACTATATTAAGGCAACATTAGATTATGGCAAAAATATCAAAAATAAGGAATTTACAAAAAATCACTATTTATATAATATTTATAAAACTTAATTTACTTGTATTTTACTTGCAGTTGCCCTATTTGGAGTTGGAGAAGCTGAACGGGATAGAGGAAGTGAAGCAGTACCTACACAAAAAGCTGCTGGAGGTTCCTTTATGACGGCATAAATGCAGTGTGTTTGTGTGCTTCAGAGAGCATGTGCCACATCCACAGTTTCAAGAGGTTTCGTTGTTTTCAGAAAGACGATGGTGTCTGTGTGTGTATGTGAGCGTCTGTATGTGCATTTGTACACAGGATGTGAACAGTCCTTGATTTCAGGACAAAACTTCGGCTGACACAAGGAATCTGGGTGGGTGGGTGTTATTGTTATTCTTTAATTACACAGAGATCTTCTTAGGGCAAAGTTCAAAATAATATATGTAGTCTATCTGTGCCTGGATAATAAAGCTTATTCAGCATCATCAAGCAAACATTACTCTCCTCAGCAAATGATTAATGGCCATTTCATTCTCAATGAACATCACAAAACATCAGCAGCACTTCTGAAATCTTTTAGATTTTGTCCAGAGTGAGAGTTTTTTTGGTATATTTGGGGGTGGGAAGAACAGGCGGTTTGTTATTATATGTTCGCCAGCATTTTATTTTAGTTTTTGATGGTGTTCCCACATCCCTTTTTGTGTCCTCACTGTTTTTTTTGGTGTGTTTAGGTGCAAGTTTGTCTTTTGGGGCAAGTATAGTACAGTATATTTTATGGATGTGGACACAAGTTTGCAGGGGTCTGGTGATGAGCCACAGCTAGCCTGTATTTCAGACGCTGCCACCACGACCACTGCTGCTCTTTGGTTTTGAACCTAAAAGAATTGAGGTTTTGGGGATAAATATGGACGTAACATTTGTGTGCTATTCACCTGTGGAGTCTTGCCTTAAAGATTTTCTTGCTATTGCCGCAGCAAATGCACCCACCTGTGATCATTTGCTCATTAATAACTCATCAATTCTAGATTAGGGTACAATAATTTTAAAGATTCCTCTTGATGGGAATTTTTTTCCTGTTATGGATATTACCGAAAAAAGACTTGAATATTAATAATAGCACAGTTTGTGTAAAAAAAAAAACTGCTTTGTTTGAGATAGAAATTCAGCAAAAGGTTTTTCGATCACTTTTGGCATTTCATAAAGTTTCATATTTTATAACACCATATGCTATTGGTTATTGAATGGTGTACATTTAAGTATTTATGTTATGCTTTATTTCCGTCTGGAGATTTCATTGACATTTACATTGATCTTTAAAGGCTGTTTACTCAAAATGAGTTGTTTGTGTACACCTGCATTTCAATTTTTATTCCCATGTACGTTCTAAAGTTTTTTACAGAGGAGTTTGTTCATTTATCATTTGCCTGATATAATACTGGTTAATTCACGGGGAATGTTTTTCCCTTGCTGGTGAAGCTTGACAGTATTTTCTAATTTATGGGGTAATAGAAGATATTCAAACTCTCCTCGTTAAAAAAAAATTCAGTATGTCAACAAAATGAAAGAGGACCTGGCTTTATCCAATGTTCATATTTCTGGAAATAAATGCAATTTAGTGCATTTTAATTTATAATTTTAATAATGCATCATTGACATACAAACATAACATTTCAGAAAGCATAAGAGTTCAGAAAAAGTAACATTTGTGTGCTATTCACCTGTGGAGTCTTGCCTTAAAGATTTTCTTGCTATTGCCGCAGCAAATGCACCCACCTGTGATCATTTGCTCATTAATAACTCATCAATTCTAGATTAGGGTACAATAATTTTAAAGATTCCTCTTGATGGGAATTTTTTTCCTGTTATGGATATTACCGAAAAAAGACTTGAATATTAATAATAGCACAGTTTGTGTAAAAAAAAAAACTGCTTTGTTTGAGATAGAAATTCAGCAAAAGGTTTTTCGATCACTTTTGGCATTTCATAAAGTTTCATATTTTATAACACCATATGCTATTGGTTATTGAATGGTGTACATTAGGGTTGGGCCGATAGACGATGCCATTGTCCATCGCCGATGGCTGACAGACATCACGATAAACTGACATTGTGACCCCCCCCCAATTTGATTTTTAACTTGTTTCTTATTCTACTCTTATTCTGTTTTTTTAATTACAATTTTTAAAAAGCTTATAAAATATAATTTTTTTAAGAATTTGACAAAAGATGACATACTTTTAATAAAGTTAGAGGAGTCAAATATTACCTCGTAATGGGAAGGCTATACTTTTTGATAACATTTTGGATTATTGATTAGAAGGTGCTCCTAAAATTTTGAACGTGCTCCTACATTTTTTAAGTTAGGAGCACAAGTGCTCCTAAAAAGAAAAGTAAGCGTCGAGCCCTGGTACTACGGAAACCCTAAAGGGAATAAATAGCATACGAGATGGGAGGATAAAAAAATATTTCAATACTTTTTCTCACAATTATATCGTTGGGTAAGTATAGGCGACTGTATATAAATTGCGGGCATCAGAGAGCCGCTATTGAAACCGCTTTCGATTGCGCGCTCTCATTTTACTTTCACTTTCACTTTCGAGATTTGCGATCACAAGGACTCTATACTATGGAGCGGCAGTACTTACCACACATTTGACAAGATTAGATGTTTGTCATTGGTGCTCAGGATCTGCAAATCATTTGCCATCGTCCTGTCAGACATTTCTCCTTACTCTGTGTATGTGGTACTTCCATGTACTGTAATGCAACAGGCTACCGCTAGCAAGCGGCTAACTTTTTAGTGGCTCCGTAGAAAGCGTTGCTTGGTTTAATAACCCCCCCCTCCGCCCTCATCGTCATCGTCCATCACGATGTTTCACTGTAGACATCGTCCAATGTCAATTTGGTAGACATCGCCCAACCCTAGTGTACAGATTAAAGCTTCCACTGTAGCTCATGCATATTTCACAATATATTTATATTGTCTGTTGCAGACAATTTGAGTGTAAGGGGCTAAATCTTAGTACATGTCAAATATTTGGGCTATATTTTAAAGCTGGTATAGAATGCTGAAAGGCCGTGACTGAGTCTTCAAATAAGGGCAGTGTTTGACCTGTATAGACCATAAGTGCAACTTTTTAAAAAAAGCTTTTTGTAAGAAAACAGGAAGCTTTTTTTTTCCCCCCCCCCCCCACCTAGCCAATACAAACTTTGTATTTGTATCTTATACTTAACAGTTTTCACAACAAAATGAACCCACAAGGCAACAGAAAAAGTCACTAGTCTTTTTTAAATGATCAGAGTTCCCACAATTATGAAAAACCTGCAAATATCTGGGATTTTTAATATAGCCAAAACATGGTTGAATTGTAATATTTCTTCTCCTCTGATAAAATTGTTTTATACTGTGTGTGTGGTACCCTTGGGGTTTTAATCAGGTTAATTCAAATTTAGTGTAAGAACATTTGTCTGTCTTAGTTTCTATTTTAATTTTTAATAACGTTAAATAACGATAAGTATGGTTTTCACTATAACTTGTAACAAGGGAGCCATAAAAAAATAAACTATCAAATTTAGTTAGAACTGTTGAAACCCTGAATGATGCATAATGCATAACCTGTATTTGATTGAAATAATTAACTGTCAGGAATGTCATCAGTAATTGTGAACATGTGCTGTAGGTGCCTAGTCTGAAGTTGCCTTAGTCCAGGACACAGCCGACCAGGATGGCTCTAATAGAGGGGGTGGGTGATGAGGTCACCCTGCTCTTTGGAGTGGTGTTCCTGGTGCTCGTCCTGGTTCTGGCCTGGGCCTCCACTCACACTGTTGAACCCCCTGAACACCTCCTCTCACCCAGCCCAGGGACCTCCCCCTCCACAGAGACTGACAGCCAGGAGCCGCTCCCCTCAGGTAACACGGACTCGTCACCCAGCGAGAACAGCGAGAACGATAAGAGTGAACCTGGAACAGAAGCGGGAGCGGCGGGACAGTCCCCGGATGCTAGTAGGGCTGGAGGAGGTGAGGGAGGCCTCCTGGAAGAAGCAGGGATTGGGAGGAATGAGTTGAGACATCGAGAATCAGCGGGTCCCTCGACTCAAACTCCAGCCAGCGCCCCAAGTGCCACACAGCCTTTGGCCGAAGATCCACCGAATGACACCCAAAGAAACATGGTGCTCAGGCTGAAGTTCTTGAATGATACAGAGAGGACTGCACAGGTGAATCTTCAAGACACCATTGGCTACATTAAACGGTAAGCAGCTGAAAATTTATCAAAACATTTTTTTTTTTTGGAATCGGATGTTCTTTTAATGTAAGATTAAGATGCTCAAGGCAGCATACAAATTGCAGCAGACAGATGGAAACATGGTAATTTTTATATGTATGTATTTATTTATTTATTTATTTTAAATTCGCAAAAAAAACTTGGGCAATTCTAAATGTAAGAATTTGACAATTAGTAGTTGCACCAAGGAATTAATTATTTCACTCATATTTATATGAAAATTTTCTTCGTTTCTAATTATTTAATATAAATGTTATCTAATATTTTGTCTAAATTTAATTACCTACAAGTAATTTTTTAATCATGTTGTTTAAACCATTTTGACCTAAATATGCTGATTGTAAAAATAATGTTTTCATCTGATGTGCTGTAATTATTTAAAATTCCTTAAGTAATTTTTTCATATAAATTCATGTTTTTTCTGGAAAAAAAAAGTTCTAGTTTGCACATTCTTTTTTTCTAGTTCATTGTTATTCTGTGTTCTTAAATTCAGAATGACAGTTCTGTGCCCTCTTTGCTTCCTCAATTTAAATTCAAAACTTCAACTGGATTTTAACAGGCATTCTTAATTAAATTCTAAATGGTGCTTGCGCTGCTACTGTTTGTCTTCTGTTTTCATGCTTATATCAAGATGGCAGTTGTACAGTGACCATTCATGCTCTTCAGAGGCCATTTTTTCCATTTATTCAATTTTTGCTTATGGATTATATCCTTGACTACCTGCTGAATTAATTGTCACTAGGCAACTTATAAATTTTTGTCAATCAATAAGAAAGCTTCTGCCAAGAAAATGTCTGCAGCAGCCCACACACAGTTACCGACCAGAGACCTTTTGTTCCAACACCACTACTTCATCCTATGCAGTGTGTAGCACTATGCTTTCAGTCAGAAGAGTGAACCAAAAAGAGACCTCCTTAAGCCTCTTAAGACACAATTATCCATTCTTACAAGCAGTACCATTCTATTGAAATCAGGCAGAAGGGTTCTTCAATGTCTAGTGGATATATGAGGCACTGAGTGTGTGGGAGTCCACATGATGTTTGCAGTAGGTGACTGCACACTTTCGCTAGGTGAGAGGTCAGATTGGAGAGTTTTTAGTTTTGGAAAGTTATTCACTGGGAAGACAGCTTGTGTTTGCAAAGAAAATCACTGCACAATCACTATTCACTACATTTGTAGTGGAGTTTTCTTCTGTTTTGAATGGAAATTAAACATTGCTGAGCAGCTTTACAGAATGCCTACATTCTCTGCTAATGATAGTATTTAAAACACTATTTCATTCAGTTTTTACAAATGCTTCAGATGTTCCAAACTCCCCAAAAATGTTCCATTAAAATAGTTTTAAATGCATTAGCACAGCATTATTTAGGGATGACAATTTAATATGTGCCTGAATTTCTGCACGATATGAACGTGAACGTTTTTTCAGAAATTTTTTTTTTTTCATTGTCTTTTGTCTTGAGCTACCCACCAAATCATATTGCAACAGTTTTGTCATTGTAATTATGATTTGAACTGTATTATGGTAAACATTTAACGTCTAATCTCATTCTACTTGGATATCAAAGTTAAAATCAGATTGAAAGAGCAGCTCTCATGATGAACAGGGTGTACAAAAATCTACAAGCAATTATTTTTGTCTACGAATTAAGTCCTAATTTAAGTCATGTCTCTCTTTAGAGGTGTTTACATGAGCCCTCTTTAAAGAAACCAAATATAAACTGATTTAACCAATATACAGTATATTATATTTGACAACCATTTGTAAGGTGAAGCAGTCTTGTATTATTCCTTAATCACCAGAAGTCAATTTTAACATGTATGAATATTCTAAATAAATTGTTATGCTTATTCCTGATTTCTCCTCTTTTTTCCACTCCTTTGTAGATTGTAAGTTAAATGAGACATTTTAAATACTACTTTTTTTTTTTTTTTTTTTTTTTTTTTGTCATTAAAACTCACGAAACTTTTGACATTTGACTGATTTTGTTATACTTTAATATTTCCAAGGAAGACCTTTTCTGTTTCTGTGTGTAGTTATATATTTATATTTATATATTCTTAAACAAGCTGAGCAGCATGTGTAGGTTTTCGTATTTGTTCGTATTAAACGTCTATGTGTTTGATTACATTTTCAGGACTTACTTTGCTGGACAGGAGCACCAGGTACGTCTGATTTACCAGGGTCAGCTCCTTCAGGATGATGCTCAGACGCTGGCCTCTCTCAACCTGGCCGACAACAGTGTTCTGCACTGCCACATCTCCCAGCACGCCACACGGGCCATGCCTGCCGGGGCACGGGCTGCTGACCAGGTGCATGTGGCGCTCAACATGGGCAGCCTCATGGTGCCTCTGTTCGTGCTTATGCTGTCTGTGCTCTGGTACTTCCAGATCCAGTACCGGCAGTTCTTCACTGCACCTGCCACCGCCTCACTCGTGGGCATCACCATCTTCTTTAGTTTTGTTGCGTTTGGGGTGTATCGCCGTTGATGGCTGTTTCTGTCCACTCATATTCAGCATTTACGTGTTTGCGCACATACAGATACACATTCTTTGCACTTGCTCACTCACCAGTGCCAGTGGCAATGTCTTCTGGGAATTCTGGACTTTTCAGGTTTGCTGAAGACTGTGATTTCAGAGAAACATCTCTGAGGTCGTCTTGTTTTTTTTTGGTTCATCACTTTTGCCATTTTTCATCTGCACCAAGTTTATGCTTGTCACTGACTGTGATTTCAGAGAAACATCTCTGAGGTCGTCTTGTTTTTTTTTGTTTTTTTCCTTGTTTTTTTTTGGTTCATCACTTTTGCCATTTTTCATCTGCACCAAGTTTATGCTTGTCACGGATTGAAATATGCTATATATTTGATTTTTAAAAAAAGAAAAATAGAGATGATTGTGCCTGTCCTCTTTTTCTCATGTGCATGCTGCCAGTGTGAAACTGGGGCTTGCTTGTAAGAGGGTATGTGAATTAAAGGTGTTTGAGTTTCAAGCGGGGCTCGTCTGGCTGTCTGCCAGACTCAAACTGTAGTAAAGCAGTTCAGCTAGAGCTGCTCTTATGTGTTGGGACAATTAAAATAATTTGTGTACAATAAGGCTTTTGAAATGGAGATATAATCTATTAAATCATTCTTTTTATTTACTGGTGAGTGTTGTCATTTTTAAAATGTCTTACTGCTGCTCATATGATCATTTTAAGACTCATTTGTCTATATATATATATATTTTATTTTTTATTTTTTTTTATTATTTTTTTTACTACACAATTTATTGTATACTGGAGCCTAAAGTCAAATTAAAAATGTCTGAATGTCATTCAATTATAAATAAAATATCACACCATGTGGCATCTGCAAACAAATGGTGCTCAGAACTAACTTAATTTTTCTGAGTCATCTTTCCAATTACTATCAACAGACTGGTGTCAGAATGTTATTTAATGAATGTTTTAAGTTAGTTTCCTTAAAGTTCACACTGGTGTCATAGAAAAGTAAGTAAAGGTGTAGTTCATTGCATTAACATGGACATGTGACCAGTTTGGAAAGAAAATAGTATCAAAATAAGCTTTTGTCTTAATTTCAGACAAAGGCCCAGTTTCACAGACGGGGCTTCGCTTAAGCCAGGACTAGGCCTTAGTTAAATTAAGACGTTTAAGCAGCTTTTATAAAAATGCCTTAGAAGAAAACATTACAGGTGTGCATCTTGAGACAGAACAATGTCACTGATATTTTAAGATATGTCAGAGCAAGATATTTTCTGTTGAGACAGCTCAAACATGCGTTTTAGTTTAGGATTAGCTTCTTAAGTCTTGTCTGTGAAACGGGGGTATATCTTTTGTTTTATCTTGAAACCTTAAGTCTTTTTTTGTGAAATGAATGCCACTGGTATGACGTTTTGTTACATAATGGTTTTAGATATCAAAATAGCTTTTAGGTCCACTAAATATGAGTATATGTATGTGGGGAATGTAACTGTTAAATGTACATGGAAGTTTAGCGGAGTAAGAATCGTTTCACATTGGAAATTCACTAAAATCCTTGTAGTTAGGAAAATGTATCCTTTATTGCAGTGTACATTTTAATTATCGCGGCGAGTAGCGAAGATGTCCCTTATTGTTAATATGACGGAGTGTGTCAGACCCTTCCATTTTCTGTAGTTTGACGACGTCCCCTTAATCCTTCACTGAATCGCTTGTGTCTGGCGATCCCCGCGCCTGCGCCGCTGCGGCTGCCGCACTCGCTACCGCCAGACTCGGAGCCCGACTGAAATCACAGACACGGGCCTTCCTCGCCAGCATCCCTCCATCCAGCTCTCATTCCCAGGGGAGGGGGGAGTAGCCGAGGACCTGTCTGGAACCACGAAGAAGTTGCCGGACATCCACCGCCTGTGTTTCAGGGGTTTCTCCTCTTCAGCTGAACTGAGGGCATCAAACTTGCAGCAATGGAAAGAAAGGTAGGAATGCAACGCCATCGCATCGCCTCATTATCCGCTTCAGTCTATACGGCAAATGCGTTTTCAGCATTTGTTATTTCAAAGCGTTTCTGCTTGGCACGAGAGTCCTATTCAGACGTGTATACTATTGTAATTTTGCTGTTTTCATGCATTGATGCTAATTGACAGTATTATTAGACTATAAACAATCCTGCGCGCTTGATTGGCACCTGTCAATTGAACTATTACTCATGTCATTCAATTGTTATGTGTAAGGAATGCTTCATCTTTTTTTTTTTTTTTGCCTCCATATGACTACACCGTTTTGTATAGCTGGCACGAGAGTCCTATTCAGACGTGTATACTATTGTAATTTTGCTGTTTTCATGCATTGATGCTAATTGACAGTATTATTAGACTATAAACAATCCTGCGCGCTTGATTGGCACCTGTCAATTGAACTATTACTCATGTCATTCAACTGTTATGTGTAAGGAATGCTTCATCTTTTTTTTTTTGCCTCCATATGACTACACCGTTTTGTATAGCTCAGAAATAGCATGTCTGGTTATAACCAACAATAGTCTGTCTCAAAACTTCTTCCAGCTGCTTTTTTACTGATGTATCTTGTAACTTACATGATGAACATCCTCCTTGAGCCCAACATCTGCTCTGCATTGTGTCTATGTGCTTCCAGACAGTGTTGTTTGCAATACTGAAGTTTGTAATTCCAGCGGAGGCCTATCCGTTCAGCAATACCGCATCACATTTACTCCTTTACCACAAATACTAGGCTAGTCAGTGTGCTTTTCTCATAAAGAGATCTTATAATGTGTGTTGGACTAGAAAACATGCATCTAAAAGTTCATTAATAAAAGAAGATTGGTCTTTGAAGCCCCTTTTCTGCATGTGCACATGGATAATCAAGCTCATTTTCTTCCCAAAACCTGTGTTTGCCCCCCTCCAGCACCCCCTTCACTCTGATTGAATGGGACATTGCCACCCTCAAGTATTAGCCTTTATGGGGGTCCTTAAAGGGGGTCTTCTACTATTGGAAGAGATTTTTCCTCATCTTTATTATTATTATTGTGCTTAGTTGGTTCAATCAGCAACAGTTTTGTAAATCTGTACAATGCTTATGTCAATTTACAAATGATAATTATTAAACATTAACAATGTACATATTTTGATATTTCTTTTTATTTCCTTTTTTAAAAGGATTTTTATTTTGATTAAAATAAAAAAAAATGTAATAGTGGAGATTTTTAATATTGCATTTTAGCAAGTAATTTACCAACTTTTTCCCCAACAGCTTGTCCTGAAACCTACAAATTTTGAACCAATCTTTCAGGAAAAAAATAGATATGTAAGTTGCCAAACATTGTAGTCATGCAATAATATCTCATCCTTTTAATGTTTGCATCAACTGAAAGATTTAACAGCTTGTTTACGTCCACATGCCTCTGAAAGTCCAAAAATGTGCTTTCGTTAAAGTGATAGTTTATCCAGTAATAAAAATTCTCATTGTTTACTCACCCTCAGTGGCTCGGTATTTATTTATTTTTGTCAATGCAATGAAAATGAATGGGTCCAATGTTGTTTGGATCTCAAATTCTTTAAAATATCTTCTTTTGTGTTGCTCTGAAGAAAGTAAGTCAGATTTGGAATGACACAAGGGTGGGCAAAAGATGACAGATTTTTCATTTTTGGGTGAACTGTCCATTTAATTGCTTGCTTACTGACAAACTCTGAGGCATAATCTGAATGGACCCATTAGGGTGATTCACAGACAATTCTTCAGAATCCTGCCTGTGGAAACATTCCTTTATAGTTTCCCCAGTGTTAGTCATTCAGACTTTACCCTGATATAATTCTCAGACTTAATAAGCAGCTGTGAGAGCAAAAGGATAATTTACCGCCACATAACCGCCTATTGGAACAGCACCGTGTCTGTGTTTTGATAGCCCTGATTGCCATGTTCCTGTTTTCAGCGGCATTCCACTACACAACGGTGGTCCAGTGACAGCCCCCTTCACAGACCCTCATCCTTCCCAACCCAGAGTCTGTAAGGGAAGCTACATTAAAACAGAGAGAGAGAGAGTGACTCGAATCTGGCCACACGCCGACACGCTTTAAAAAGGGAGAGAGTTTAGAAAGGGATCGTCAGAGTGCGGAGAAGGAGGGAGGGAGGAGAGGGAAAGTGAGGGAAGCGCACAGAGGCAGAGGTGCCCAGGAATAGAGGGAACAAAAGAGAGACTGGGGGTTTTATACATGGACATGGAGGATTCTGCCGGAGGAGCTCGTAAAGCCACCAAGAGTAAACTGTTTGAGTTTCTCGTCCATGGAGTGGTGAGTGAGAGAGCGAGCGTGTTTGTGCATGTGGAAGCGTGTCACGGGAGAACTAAGATGCAGCGGCTCTTATCCATTCATTTCTATGTAGATTGGTTTTTATAAAACAGGAACAGCCGTGGAGGACCGAGTGTAGAAGAAAGAGTGAAAGGTTATTGTCTTTAACATATGGAGGAGGATAAGGATAGAGAAACTCTGGTGCTGGAAGTATGAGCGATACTTGTATTTTTAGGGACGAGTACTAGTATGAAACAGAGGATGCTCTTTTGGTGTGTGTGCAGGCAGAAGAGGCTGTGTATCAGGAGCACCCCAAGGGTAGATCACACATAAACATCCTGCTGTGGTATTTCATCGTGAACATGTAGTGGAAGCAGACTTGATTGTATGTGTTTCCTGCATAAAAATGTGGGCGAATGAAAGGTTCACAGAGACTTTTGAGAACTTTTGGTGGTTGTGCAACTATTTTGAGGCTGCTTTCTAATACTATTTGATATCAGACCAAATGAAAGGTATTGTTTCTAGAGGCTTCTTTGCTAAAACACAGCCTTTAAGACATCCTAACCCTCTATTAGCTTTGCTTTTGCCATGTATTATTTAACAAAGCCACTGATACTATGGAAATATTATTCCTGAAATGGATATTCATGAATATGAACGTATAGATATTTCATAAACTGATGGATTGGGGTTGAATGCAAACTCTTCATGAGTTTATAAATGAGAGATCACTCGGCCTACGATTGCTAAAAGACCTTGTACAATGAATTCGATTTTTTTTACATTTTATTTTATAACCATTCTAACCTGTTAAATACATTTTCATTATTTAACAGGTTGTACTACAAACTTGCAAAGTTTGCCTTAAGCTGTGTGGTGAAGGTAAAAAATCTCAAACCCACTGATTTTTTCGCCGTTAATAAAGATTCTTTGGACTGAGAACAATAATATTAGTATCTACAAAAATATTTCTGGTATTGGTATCTCAGAACAGATACTGTATGTAGTATAAGCTACAGCAGTATTGAGAAAGTGTTGAGAAACTTGTCCTGTGTGATGGTCCAGCGTTGCGGCCTCCTCCTGTGCCCTGAACACCTCCATTGCGACCTTGAGAGCCAGGGATTGGCAGAGGCGTGCAGAGACCTGCACCCGTTCCCGCAGCGTCCACATGTTCACAGCCCACTGCCTCTTCACTCAGATGTTTTGAGATTGGACCGGGCCTGGACACCTCTGGAGCTTGGCCTACTTTGGGAAGCGATGATCGGGTCGTGAGGGTCACAGCACCATATGGGAGCATCTCTGGCAGAGATGTACTGTACCCGCACTGTAGGGAGGACTGGAGCTGGGGACGTTGGCTCACATTCA